AATCAAGAGTTTACACAGCCCAAACCCTCTGTTCGTGGCTGCTTGCTGGGACTTTGCTGGAGAGGTTCTTCGTCTGCCCTTATCCTACTTCGGAACACCTTGTCTGGGGCACGTTGCATCTCGGTGCTCTACAAAAGCTAATTCACCAAGGTTGTCTGTTGTGCGAGGGCGTTCGTCAATTCTATCAAAACAAGTGTTGTTCTCCATTTGGGTTGGAAGAGCTTGGAAAAAATGCGTCTCCTTGAGCAATGGAAGCGTGGTAGATTCCTAGCGCGAGATTTGAGTTAGGAAATGTCAAATTCACTAAGAAATGTGGTGAAAATGCCCCTGGTTCCGTAGCCCCAGAAATTTGAAGTAGGGATGGTTGTACTAATCTTGGACCGATTTGGGCTGCTTGGAAGGCCATGAGAGCAGGCTGGGCCCATAGAGCAGACTGGGTCACAAGAGTAGGTTGGGCCGTTGGAGCAAACAGGGTCGCGGGAGCAGATTGGGCCGCGGGAGCAGGTTAGGCCACGGGAGTATGCCACTTGGCGTGTGGCGCATGTAGGTGTGAGGCTAGGGCTCTGCTTGGCAACGCGTTGGGTTTGCGTCGGGCTTGAGTGGCTCGGGTCGTCATTCCTTAGGCTTGGGCTCCTGTGGGCTTGAATGGCACGGCTTGGGCCGTGGTTGTGGCGTCGTGGTAGCTGTCGTGGTGGCCATCGTGGTAGTTGCCATGGTGGTGCCCCGTGGGGGTGGTGCCGCTCTACTCATCATTGTGTTGAGCCTCGTAGAGCACCGCGTTCCTAATCCTTGAACGTTGGAATTTCTGTTCGTCGAGGTTTTCGAATCTCTTGCCATTGTACTTTTCTTTTAGGTTTTATCAAAAAAATTTTAAAAATAAAAAATTCCAAGAATAAGAACGTACAAAAAATCTACAAGAAAACGAAAAACCTTGAATGTGAGAGTCTTCTACGAGTGTTTGATCAAGACTCTTAATGAAAGCACCAATTTGTAGATGCAAATTTCTGTCTTCTTCTTCTTATACAAAATTGCACCTACAAAACAAATAACACCTTAGGTCAAGGCCAAGAGCCTCACGCGCCCACGATGAATTTTTGGGGGGGGGGGGGGGAGGGGGGGGGGGGAGGGGGAGGGGGGCCTTGGCCGAAGAACCTTCGATGCCAAAGTTAGAATTTTGAGGGAAAATATTTGGAGAATTTAGAGAATTTTGCAAGAGAGTTGGAATTAAGTTTTGGAGAAAATGAGATGATATTTATAGGGTGTGGTCGGCCCCTTTAGGAGGATGGGGACCGGCCACTTGGATGGTTTTTTGGGTGAGATTCATGATTTGTTAGCTAATTAATACATTAATTGGGTAATAAATCAATTGATTAACTAATTAATATAATTAGAAGGGAATGATTTGGGAGTTATCTTGTGGAGAAGATTTGATGAGGACTGATGAAATAGGTTTTGAATAAATACCTATTTTGGGCACTTTTGACTTGATTGAGGGATGATTGCTTACTGCTTGCGTGTAGAAATCCCGATGTGTCTCGAGGGTAATCTTGTATTTTTCATCCAAAAATTCATGTGTCGCCTCCATATTCTTCTTAATTATTTTTGGCTCCACAGACGCAACGAGATATATCAAGAAAAATTGAACGATTTCACAACGCTAGAATCCACAAGCAAATCCTATAATCCACTAGGAATAATAGAGAGAAAAACTCACATTTTATTGATAACAGTCGAAATATAACAATTCCGACACCAAATAGGTGTATTTATTCGTCCAAAACATAAAACCCCAAACCTTAATAGGACTTTACATTCAAGCAAGAAATAAAATAAACGGTTAACAAAGTTTCAAAAATATCCGTAACTTCAAATTTGTTTTGGGATAGTAAACGAGGGAATTTGGCCAATTTTGCCTTATTTCATCATGAGCAAAGCTATCTAGTGCGTATTGTTCCTCGCGTCATTCTCTTTGAAATGATTGTGACATTAACAACAAAACCTGCATCCCATGAGCCTTACTGCCAATTTTGCATCTTCCATTCTACATCACTTGTTTTCAGAAAAATCATAGTCGAATTACATCAGTTTTTATGTTTCACAGCCCAATATAAACTAATTCAAATTGACAAAGATTTTATTGGATCGACCTTTGTATTTTTATTTTTTGGTTATGTAGTTCAACCTCACTCTAACTCTCCTCAGTGTCATGTCATTCACTTACATAAAAAATTAGAAGGACAAAAAAAAAAAAAAGGACAATTGTAATCAAAGCAACACCTCATGCAAACCCTAAACTGTGAGGTAACATTTTATCAACTTAAAAAATTGTAATATTTTTGGTCGGTTTTAACAACCAATCGAATTAAATTGGTTCTTCAACTTTCTCGTATTCCAATTGAACTTAACTTAAAAGTTGCAACCAGCATTCCAGCTAGGGGTAATGCTAAGGAGATTAAATTTATAGATAAAGTTTTGAAAATTAAAGGACATAGAAGTTGATGATTGATTTATTACTTAAACGTTGATAAACGTGCTTATTCATATTGATGACACATAATTTAATTTGGAAATTTAATATTCCTATCATTACCTTTCGAGCTAGCATTTCTTTATGGAGCTTCCTCCACTCAAATTGAAAGATTAGATATAAAGTTTAATTCACATATTATCTTTTGTTAATATATATATATATATATATATATATATATATATATATATATACATGACAATTAAGCGCATGCACATTTTGTATGTAATGCCCACGTACATTTTCTCGCCTTCTTCTCAACTTCTTTACAAAAATTAATTAATTATTTTTGCAAATTTTCTTCCTTCTTTTATTTTAACACTTGCTTTTAATTAGTTTGTAATAACTAATAATTTTGTACAATAAATGGCGCATCATGACGAAGAGAAAATAATTAATAAGAACAAGAACTCGAATTCATCATAAAGTATGAGAAAATCTCAATTTTAATATTGAATAGTTGATAAACTTTAATTTATGATTATGTTGGTGCAAGACGCTTTTTTTTCTCTTAGATCGGATTAAAATTCCCAGCAATATTTTTATTGAAGCCCATGTTATGCACCCTTCTTTTAGCTTTGTACATTTTCAATTGCTATTAATGAATATTGTACTTCAATTTCAAAAGATTTTTTTTTTCTTTGCCAAAAAAGAAAAAAATATTGAATAGTAACAACTGTAATGCCAAAACGGTATATTTATAATGTAACTTAACGCTAAAAGCCATAAGAGTTCAAATATAAATGGAATTAGATAAATAATAAAATACCAAAAACGTCCTTAAATCTTAAAACCTTAACTAAACATTGTAAACGATAGAATCTAGTTGAAAACCCCCATACATCATGACAAAGCGCTGAGTTTAATGTGTGTCCCTCTTTGAAATGATGGGTAGGGGCCAAGTCGGACACCAAAACCTAAATATGCAAAACTCTATTATTTGATCTAATTTACGCCTTTCGACTTGATCTTCAATCCACTACACCATCTAATCTTCGTCAAATAATGTAATGGTGTTTCTAACAATTCGAGGACATCCGACAAAGGAGTAATGAATTTATAATAATGTAACAATGTTTCCTTTTTCTTTTATCAATGGAAACAAGAAGAGGGACTTGAATTTAAAATATCTTCTAAGAGGTATCAACAGATTATACATGTTTACTTACTATCATTTTGATTCTTGAGTTCCATGCATTTACTAAAATATGGATAATGAAATTATTTCATTTATTAACTTTTTCACGTGTTTACTTACATGTAAGAAATAAAAAAAAATACAACTTTTTCCTTAAAAATCTGTAATAAAATATCTAAAAATAAAAGAGAATTAGATCAATTATTAGAAATTAGTTGATCTGATTTTTTTTTTCTTACTTCTCCGACTAGTGTTGTGTAGCGTTGTTTCTCGAAGGAATAATAATTTTACTGGGAATCAAAGGACCCTGATTAAAGAGTGAATTATCAGAAACATATGGGCTAGCACTTCACCTAGCTTGTCCCTTCAACATATAAAAAAATCTATATTAGTATCAAAACCATGAAGAAAATTCTTTTTGCCCACGGCTTTCCTGAAACAACTAATTCCATTCCCACCCAATTTACATCGATGGTGATGCATACGTGTTCTTAATTTTATTTTATGGAGAAATTATAGAACCTAAAACCAAATTAAGAAAAGTTAGTCGCTAAACAAATGGTGCATCCATTAGGGAATCATACCCCGAACCACATCATTTCCTCCTACTGAGTTGACTAACATTATTTATACTTTTAATAATTTTATTATTATACAGGTAACACCTCTTTAGCACATTAAAAAGACGATTAATTTGTAGCTTAGCTAGCTACCTACTTACACTTTTTATGTAATTAACAGATCATACCATTCTTATTTAGCAGCTACCTACATACACTTTCCATGAAATTAACAGATCATGCCCTTCCTAATTAGCACAAGAGGCCCATTTAATTGTTGGTATAGAGTAATGTTATTCATACCATGTTTTTTTACCACATTTTCATACCACCTTAGGTGGCATTTAATGTGGACAACCATATTATTTGAATTAATTAGATTTTTTAATTTAGTTCATTATTTAATAAAATAATAATTAAGAAAAATTAGTTAATTAAATGATGATTGTGATATACGAGGAGTCTTTCTCCTTTCTTTCCTTGAGTTTTGAAAAAATTTCAAATGATATGGTTGTCCACATCAGATATCACCTAAGGTGATATAGAAATGTGGTATAAAAATATGGTATGAATAGTATTACTCATACATGGTGTCCATAAATACTTTCTATATGGTCCCTCCTAACCCTAAGGCACTTTTTCTTATTTTCAAGAAAAGAATATTCAAACACACTAGCCAATTCAGTCCTTGACCTAACCTTCGAGCTCCACACTATAAAACATTGATTCTGCCCAGAACAATTCACCAAAAATCTACATGTGTTTTTCATTCCATTGAAGTCACAAGAAAACCCTATACAACCTTGGTTGCTTTAGTTTTTTCCCACCACTATAAATCCCCGACCTCTAATCTCTTCTGCTTAGGCAGTGATCATTCAGCTTCAAAAACTTCGTTTTCTCACAAACCCGCAGTTTTTTTTCCCCAATTTTAATTTTTCTTTTTGAAAAAATAGGAAGCTAATACAAGATACCTAGCTCTGCATATCAGGAGAGTTTGAATCCTGATCCTAGCTTACTCGGACCGATCGATCACCTTTCCTACCTACCACCGGGCTAACCCCTGTGGCTTGCATCTCTCTGTGGTTCTCTCATCTCTCTTTAAAACTCCACATCAAGAAGTTTGTGCAGGCTATTTTTTTATCCAACAATTCGCCGCGTTTATTGTAATTTAAAGGTAAGTGTTCCCGAAAACTATGTGGGGTATTTTGTCGATTTGTAGTGAGGACTTCGTTACATGTGTAACTTTGGATATAAAGTTTCTATGAAGTGAAATCTCACCAGTGTTTTTGGGTCAACCTTGCAGGTTTCAATAATTATAAAATGAGAATTCTCATGTCTGCCTGCAAACAAGTAGTACAGCCGATGGTGAGCTTCCAAGGCCCCGGGCTCACCAACATAAACATGGATCCGTTTTTACGGCGAAAAGATAAGGTTGTGATCGTAATGGGAGCCACCGGGACTGGGAAGTCCCGGCTTGCCATAGACCTCGCAAGACATAATCCGCCGGCGGAGATTATTAACTCGGACAAAATGCAAGTCTACAAAGGCTTGGACATCGTCACCAACAAAGTCACTGAGGACGAGTGTAAAGGCATACCTCACCATTTGATAGGCAAAGTCGATCCCGACTCAGATTTTACTGCCAATGATTTCAAGCACCATGCGTCGTTGGCCATCGAATCGATCTTGGAGCGTGACAGATTGCCAATCATTGCCGGGGGTTCAAATTCGTATATTGAAGCCTTGGTGGATGAACACTCGGAGTTTCGAATGAAGTACGAGTGTTGCTTTCTTTGGGTTGATGTGGCCATCCCCGTGCTCCACTCTTTCGTGTCAGAGAGAGTGGACCGGATGGTGAAGATGGGTTTGGTGGAAGAGGTGAGAAGAATGTTTGACTCTACAACTGAGAAAGAATATACGCGCGGAATCAGGCGAGCCATAGGCGTGCCTGAAATGGATGAGTATTTACAAGGCGAAGCAAGTGGTAATAACGATGATGAAACTCAAGAGAGGCTTCTTCAAGCAGCAATTTCTAAAATCAAAGAAAATACTTGCATTTTGGCGTATCGCCAATTGCAAAAGATTCGCCGGCTGCAAGCTCGGCGGGATTGGAACATGCACCGCCTTGATGCCACGGAGGCATTCTTAAAGCACCACGCGGAAACGAATCAAGCGTGGGAAAAACTCGTGGCAAGACCTGCCACGCGGATAGTGCGTCAGTTCCTTTTGGACCCAATTCCCTCCCTTCTTCCGACAGAGAACATCACCGCCACTACCACGGCTGCGGTTCTTTCCACGTCTATGCCGACAGTGGCCACTGCAACACGATAGCTAGAGGAAGTAGGTCTGGCCGTCTCTGCGGTTAAATAAAAAATAAAAAATATAAGAAGAAAAACATAGTTACTGTGGGAATGTAAACACTGCTGTCACTGTCAGGTGGTTAAGTTAAAAGTACATCTACATCTTGGGTGGCCGTACAGTTGGAAGCATTTTAGAAATCCGTGCTGGCTGCTTCGAAGGATGATGATTCTTTCACTTCCTAATCTTTCTTCTATTTTCTTTTTTCTACTTAAACGGTTATAATTAAACCATATCAATATCTTATATTGTATTTCTATAAGAACATAAAAAAAAAAAAAAACAAGTAAAAGGAAAGAAAGAGAATAGAAATAGGATGAAAGAAAATCTTGCTCAGCTTTAAAGTGCTTTCTTTTACATTTCGTGTGTCCGTACGTACCACGCTGTGCGATGCGCCTGCGTCAATTCATCATCAATCATGAGTTGATAATTAGGCTGTGGGGTCCATATATGTTGAGAGCTCTCCAATAAACCCTAGCCAGGCGTAGGCCCCATTAATTTGTTGTGTATGTAAGTAAATATATGAGAGTCAGCAGAGGGTGGTGTTTTTTTTTTTTTTTTTTGGCCTTTTAGATTGTGTGCCGTTTTTACACCTTGAGTGATGATGAACTCTTTGTTCTTTTTATTTTACATGTATATTGCTAAATTGCTATGGTATATTTGTGATTTGGGAATTGGGAATTTCCAACAAAAGAAGAAGAGGTGTGTGTGCATTTGGTTCTTCCATCCATATCCTAATTTCTAAAGTTGAGTACGTACGTACATCTTCATCATGATTCCACATCTAAATGCAAACAAATTCACGATAGAGTTGGTCTTGAAATATAAGCAAGTTAAATCTAGCTAATTACAAAGTTCAAAGGAATTCACTAGGTTTGGCATGAAAATTAAGATATTGATTAAAATGTGTATTGATCGTGGAATTAATGTGCAATTTCCGTACGTGAAGATGTTCAAGTGCACACAAAAAACAAATCCGTTAAGAAAACAATAATGTTTGATTAAATGAGAAAAATTGTTAAACAATTCTATAAAAAGTAATTCTAGATAGACCAACTTTTTAAACTACATTATTTGCAAATCATGTGATGACATGATTTGTCACTAATCAGAAATATACACGTTAATCAACATTTAAAAAATAATTTAATTATCAACAACCATGTCATATAATTTATAAAATATGGTTTAAATAAATGGTCTTCCTAGCATTACCCTTCTATAAAAGTGTAAGTCTAGAATCTAGAGATTCAAATTAATATGTTACAATCTTGAAAGTAAATAACCAAGTGCGATCATCAATTAGATTGATAAGTCTGAATATATGAGCTATATGTTGAACACTCCAAGTACTATATGTGTTCTGTTGTTATATATTTGTGAGAAATTCAGCGCAATACTCAACATATCAGTAATTAATCACTCACATGAGCAAAATCAACCTGTTATATATGCATGGGTAATTCACCGTAGGATATATATCGTTCGACTCATAGTGATCTAAGAAGGTGAACAACTATTTATGTATGTGGAATCTATTGTAAGATGCACACATCATTAACACGGTTGAGTAATGTTCTTTAGATTAGCCCTTCTACCTTACCAAGTATACAATCATGATCAATCACCTTCTTGGACAACGGAGCCAAAGGTGAAAGAACCTGCAACGTGCTGGAAGGGACACAGAAGCCTCTCTATTTGCTGGAAGTGAATATGCTGTAATTGAAAATTTTTAACATCTAGCTTTGAGAACATATTGCTAATTGCTATATTACAATTGGGAATCTTTGAAATTAAGAGGGACCAAAAGGAAAACTGCTGTAACTGGTTGGGTCGTCTATGCAAGATCCCTTGTCGTTTTCATGCAAAAATGATTCCAAGTTCCAACTATGCAGATTATCTATAATATGGATTGGCCTTTATACCCACTCAGCACAGGCACTCACTCACCACCTCTTATGTTAAGAGAGGTGCGTGCGGGCCAACAGTGGGAAAAAAACATCTTTTGTTCTTAAGCTTCATGGCTTTTCTAGATAGGAAATGCCACATTAATGGTCAAAATCAACTTTATTAAAGGGGGTTAGAGAGAGTTAGGGCTTAATTTTTCTTATATGGGAATGGGATGGTGCCCAAACATGCGGAAAATGTATTTCGCTTAGTGGATGAAAAGCCTAGAGAGGCCAATTGGTCATACCTTTTGATACTTTTGGAGAATGAATTATCGAATCTAAATATTGGAAGAGTAAAATACATGGGATTACTCTTTTCAAAAAAATATGTTGGGTTTACTAATAGTTAATTAATTTAACTGAAAATTTGATATTACCCCTTGAAACTATATTTTCCTCTACTAAAACCCATCTCCTTTTGTTTTCTTGAATAAAGCCAATTGACTAACTTTCAATTAAACAAATTCTTTAATTAAGTTTGACTTTTCAAATTGTGTATTTTTCGAATGCCTAAACTACCCCTATTAATACTTGGATGGGGTTTTTGGATCAGTTACTTGTTATATCCATTTAATTAATTTTATATATTTTACAAAATAATTCATGCCATTCATTGTATATTCAATGTATTAACTTTCAAATTGTTATAATGTGCTAATTGAAAAATAATAATACTAATTTCATAATTTTGTGCATTACATATATAAGTTAATTTACCTACCAACACAACAATAAACCTAAAACAGCTTCGGCTAATATTCCAATCCCTAATACACAAAACAAAAGCTATATGTTCCGCACAATTCTTACCTACAAAATAGTCTAATTTACCTATTACATCAAACCAAAATTTAAAGGGTCTAGTTTACTTTCAAAATGGTCTAATTTACCTACATAATTTATGTGCATTAGATTAAAAGTTTATTTAATTGCCTACAAGCACAAACCCACAACATTCGAACATTATCTAATATCACTAATTTTTTTTTTTTTTTTGGAATAGGTAAATTAATTTAAATGTAGGTAAATTAGTATAATATTAATAAGTACGTAAATTAATTTAAATGTAGGTAAATTAGTATAATATTTTATTAGTAGGTAAATTAATTTAAATGTTGGTAAATTAGTATAATATTTATATGTAGGTAATTACATGATTCAAAATGCAGGTTTATTAGTATAATATTTTATAAGTAGGTAAATTAATTTGTATGTAAGTAATTACATAATTCAAACAATATTATTTTTTCCGTACAAGATTGTCTTTCTCTTTTAAATTTGGTAAATTAATTTATATATGTTGCTAATATTTATGATACAAGAAAGGTAAAATATCCATATGGATTTAATTGCTCATCATAATTAGGATGAGTAATAACATTTATTGACCAAATTAGGATTCTATGGCATAAGTTGTAATTGTATTGTAATAGTTGGTCATATATTTGTCTACATGGTAGGCTATTTGAAATTTGGGTTTTATTTGAATGTTTAAATTTAGATGGGTTTTTATTTGGAAAATAGGAGTTTCAAGGGTCTATATCTAAAGAACCCTTTCTCTGTCCTGTTATCCTTTGGTCGGTTTCTAATGGAAGAAAAAGTTAAGTTTGATTGGAATGGTAAACAAATTCCTGTTGTCTTCAACGATGCGTAACACCATCCATTCAACTCATCTGTTAATTTGTACTAAACAAGATCAATAAAAAGAACAAACATCGCACTATCATATATAATACTATCGTTGATCAATGCATAATGTACATGCGTGATATGCTAGAACAGGCATAGGTTGCAGCTATATATTTGACTGGACTCTTAAGTTGTCATCTAGTCGGGTATGCGTAAAAGGACAGTTCACTCTACGGTAGTGTGAGGGTTGTGATGATTTCTATCAACATGCTATTGCTATCACAAATAAATGACGCTCCAAGGGTTTTTCTTTTTCTGATCATGGTTTTAGGGCTTCATTCCATTTTTTCTAGCTTCGTCCCTCCACTTTTGATCAACAAGTTTGTTTGAACTTGCCGTGACATGAACCACAATATACACGTTTGACATATCACTGTACTTGAGCTAGAGCTAGAGCTAGCTAGGGTTTTACTTTTACAATATGATCTACCAAAATGACGTGTTTGGTTTTGTCAAGACTCGGGTTGGAAATACTACTAAACTAATTGCTAGATGACCGAACGTGGGTCGAATATCTTTTATTGTTTTTCCTTTTTATGATTTCTTGATTGAAGTGGTAGGCCTTAAAACAAGTATCATCCATGGTCCTTAAAAGTACTAGACAATTATTGAGGGAACCATGCATGCACACTCCTATAATTTTCGAAGCATAGGACATGCAATGAAATTGACTGGCTAGTATATATAAGGGAACTTTTTGATTGAAAACGTAGTGCCAACCACAAGTTCCTATGGACACCTGCGAAGTCAATTGAAGATAAAGCCTCACATGAAAACAAAAAACAATTGCAAGTATCCGAAAAGAAAAGAAAACCTGCCAGAACGCTGTCATAGTCAGCTTGAATTAATCAAACCCTACATTTCCAACCCTATTCCAAAAGAAAAAGAAAAATCGATAATGTCCTCTTGTACTCTTTTAATAATTGGCAACTTGTTTCTACTTATTTTAGATCCATTGTTTCTTGGAAATTTAGGTCAATTTTTTTGGTTTTCTTGTCGATGTTTGCTGGCGGTGGCATTTGTTTTAATGGCTTGAGCACCAAGTTTTTGTAGTCTTGTATATGTATTTGGGTATTAGGGTTGGTCTCGTTTGCTGTCGTTAATTGTGATATAAAAGCTTTTGTGTACAACTCAGAAACGCGTATTAGCCACGATCGGATGAAAGAGAGAGAGCAATAAAACACGGTTTTTGGCTAGGGTTGTCGGGCTTTCATAAGTTATAACCACTTATAATTATTTATTAATACCATCTTAATCTTTTGCATAGCTCATTCATTTGGTCATGCCTCCATCTCAATTTTGTAGTCTAAAACAAAATGAAGGTGATTAAAAAAAAATGAAATTCTTTGTTATATATGTGTATATACACGTTGGAAGATGTTCACTCACTAAATTAAACAAGAAATGATTCTCGCACACCATTTTCACCTTTTGCAGATGTATATTGATTTATGATCTTTGAGTCTCCTTTTTATTTGTTCAATCTAAAGGCCAAAAGTGCAAAAGGGTTGCGTATACAAAAAAATAATGTAACATCCCACATCACCCAGTGGAGTGGATCCTGTAAGCCTTATATATATATATTTTCATC